CTGGAAGGGTTTGGTGGGCATTGACCTTGTGATTTGGAGTTGTAGTTCACCTACATCCAGAGAGCACTGTGGACTCAAACAATGATGATCTGGACCAAACTTGGCACAAATACTCAATATGCCCAACTGTGAACACTAGTGGAGTTTGGGTAAAATAGACTTGACATTTGGGAGTTGTATTTGCTGGGATTTATAGTTCACCTACAATCAAAGAGCATTCTGAATTCCACCAACAATGGAATTGAATCAAACTTGGCACATAGAACTCCCATGACCAATAGAAAATACTGAAACTCATTGACCTTGAGTCTTGGAGTTGTAGTTCACCTACATCCAGACAGCACTGTGGACTCAAACAATGATGGATCTGGACCAAACTTGGCATGAATACTCAATATACCCAAATGTGAACACTGGTGGAGTTTGGGAAAAAATAGGCCTTGACATTTGGGAGTTGTAGTTTCTGGGATTTATAGTTCACCTACAATCAAGGAGCATTCTGAACTCCACCAAGGATGGAACTGAATCAAACTTGGCACACATAACTCCCACGACCAATAGAAAATACTGAAACTCATTGACCTTGAGTCTTGGAGTTGTAGTTCACCTACATCCAGACAGCACTGTGGACTCAAACAATGATGGATCTGGATCAAACTTGGCACACAGTCCGAACATGAGAAACTGTGAACACTGGTGGAGTTTGGGTAAAGTAGACTTGACATTTGGGAGTTGTACTTGCTGGGATTTATAGTTCACCTACAATCAAAGAGCATTCTGAACTCCACCAGCAATGGAACTGAACCAAACTTGGCACACAGAACTCCCATGACCAAGAGAAAATACTGGAACTCCTTGACCTTGAGTCTTGGAGTTGTAGTTCACCTTCATCCAGAGAGCACTGTGGACTCAAACAATGATGGATCTGGATCAAACTTGGCACAAGCACTCAATATGTCCAAATATGAACAATGGTGGAGTTTGGGGGAAATAGACCGTGACATTTGGGAGTTGTAGTTGCTGGGATTTATAGTTCACCTACAATCAAAGAGCATTCTGAATTCCATCGACAATGGAATTGAATCAAACTTGGCACATAGAACTCCCATGACCAATAGAAAATACTGGAACTCATTGACCTTGAGTCTTGGAGTTCTAGTTCACCTACATCCAGAGAGCACTGTGGACTCAAATATAGGCATCTGTGACCACTGGTGGAGTTTGGAGAAAATAGACTTGACATTTGAGGGTTGTAGTTGCTGGGATTTATAATTCACCTACAATCAAAGAGCATTCTGAACCCAACCAAGGATAGAATTGGGCCAAATCTCCCACACAGAATCCTCATAACCAACAGAATGTGTTTTCTGATTATCTTTGGTGACCCCTCGGACATCTCCTCGCGACCCCCCCCCCAGGGGTCCCTACCCCAAGGTTGGGAAACACTGCCCTAGACCCAAAGCAGCATTTCTCAATCATCATCATCACATCATTATTATTATCATTAATTCCTCCAAGTGTTTTGGATTCCAGCTCCCAGAATGCCTGATCAAGGCAACTGTAGCTTCTGGGAGATTAAGTCCAAAAAACCCCAGAGTTTGGAAATCGCTGACCTAGAGATTATTAGGTAAAATAATAATAGCATTTTAAAAATTCCACTTTTGCAGAGAAGGCCTTGTCCCCCTAATGTGGAAAGTATATGTTAATATATTGTAAACATTTATTATCTGTCACAAGAAAGAACAACAAATCAATACAAAAAAAGGAAACAAAAGGAACGACAAAAGCTAATTGGAATAAACAAACAAAAAGCCGTAGTCAACTGAGGGACACAAACATTGCTTTATACATGTAGCTTTCTCCAAGGATGATGACATGGTCTCCCTTTCATTGCATTGTTGTTGTTGTGTGTTTCTTTCCAGTCATTTCTGGCTCTTTTTCTGGGGTTGAGAGTGCGAGACTTGCCCCCAAATGATGTAGTAGATTTTCCACAGCTTATTAAGAACCCCATCGTTTATTTGGAGTTCTAATAACATTAGGAAATCTGTAATTTGAGAAGGAAAATACTGTTTTACATGGATACTTTTCTGGATGTTGGGGTTCGGTGTTCTACTTTGAAATAGCATAGCAATATGACTTATTTGTGGAAATCAGTATAGACCAGGCATGGACAAACTTTGGCCCTCCAGGTGTTTTGGACTTCAACTCCCACAATTCCTAACAGCCGATAGGCTGTTAGGAATTGTGGAAGTCCAAAACACCTGGAGGGCCAAAGTTTGCCTGTGCCTGGTGTAGACTCACATAGTGCAGTTCAATATGGGTCTACAGCAGCGTTTCTCAACCTGGGGGTTGGGACTCCAGGGGGGGTCACAAGGGGGTGTCAGAGGGGTTGCCAAAAACCATCAGAAAACATAGTATTTTCTATTGGTCATGTGGGTTCCCCTATGTGAAGTATGGCCCAATTCTGTCGTGGGGTTCAGAATGCTCTTTGATTGTAGGTGAACTATACATCCCAGCAACTACAACTCCCAAATGTCAAGGTCTATTTTCCCCAAACTCCACCAGTGTTCACGTTTGGGCATATTGAGTATTTGTGCCAAGTTTGATCCAGATCCATCATTGTTTTGAGTCCATAGTTCTCTCTGGATGTAGGTGAACTACAACTCCAAAACTCAGGGTCAATGCCCACCAAACCCTTCCAGTATTTTCTGTTGTGCCAAGTGTGGTTCAATTTCATCATTGGTGGAGTTCAGAATGCTCTTTGATTGTAGGTGAACTATAAATCCCAGCAACTACAACTCCCAAATGTCAAGGTCTATTTTCCTCAAACTCCACCAATGCTTACATTTGGGCATATTGAGTATTTGTGCCAAGTTTGGTTCAGATCCATCATTGTTTGCTCCACAGTGCTTTCGGGATGTAGGTGAACTACAACTTCAAAACTCAAGGTCAATGCCCACCAAATCCTTCCAGTATTTTCTGTTGGTCATAGGAGTTCTGTGTGCCAAGTGTGGTTCAATTCCATCATTGGTGGAGTTCAGAATGCTCTCCGATTGTAGGTGAACTATACATCCCAGCAACTACAACTCCCAAATGTCAAGGCCTATTTTCCCTACACTCCACCAGTGTTCACATTTGGGCATATTGAGGATTTGTGCCAAGTTTGGTTCAGATCCATCATTGTTTGAGTCCACAGTGCTTTCTGAATGTAGGTGAACTACAACTCCAAAACTCAATGTCAATGCCCACCAAATCCTTCCAGTATTTTCTGTTGGTCATAGTAGTTCTGTGTGCCAAGTGCGGTTCAATTCCATCATTGGCTGAGTTCAGAATGCTCTTTGACTGAAGGTGAACTATAAATCCCAGAAACTACAAGTCCCAAATGACAAAATCAACTCCACCAATATCGGGAATTTGTGCCAAATTTGGTCCAGTGAATGAAAGTACATCCTGCATATCAGATATTTCCATGTCAATTCATAACAGTAGCAAAATTATAGTTATGAAGTAGCAACAAAAGTACTGTTATGATTGGGGGTCAACACAACACGAGGAACTGTATTAAGAGGTCTCGGCATTAGCAAGGCTGAGAAACACCCGTCTACAGGTACTATAGAAAGCTGTTCCAAACTGCTTTATATGGTCATGTGATGCAGTGTAGACCCATATGATGTAGTCTGGATGCAATGTAGCTCCAGTCTTTGTCAAGCGTAACTTACATCTGTAGCCACAAAGACTAGAAACGTGTCATTGGTTTTTGTGGGTTTTTTCGGGCTATATGGCCATGTTCTAGAGGCATTTTCTCCTGACGTTTCGCCTGCATCTATGGCAAGCATCCTCAGAGGTAGTGAGGTCTGTTGGAATTAGGAAAATGGGTTTATATATCTGTGGAATGACTGGGGTGGGGCAAAGAGCTCTTCTCTGCTGGAGCTAGGTGTGAATGTTTCAACTGACCACCTTCATTAGCATTTGAAGGCCTGGCTGAGTCTGGGAAAATCTTTTGTTGAGAGGTGTTAAGATGTGCCTGGTTGTTTCCTCTCTGCTGTTTTGCTGTTGTAATTTTAGAGTTTTTTAATACTGGTAGCCAGATTTTGTAGTATTTAAAAACTCTAAAATTACAACAGCAAAACAACAGAGAGGAAACAACCAGGCACATCTTAACACCTCTCAACAAAAGATTCCCCCAGGCTCAACCTGACCTTCAAATGCTAATGAAGGTGGTCAGTTGAAACATTCACACCTAGCTCCAGCAGAGAAGAGCTCTTTGCCCCATCCCAGTCATTTCACAGATATATAAACCCATTTTCCTAACTCCAACAGACCTCACTACCTCTGAGGATGCTTGCCATAGATGCAGGCGAAACGTCAGGAGAAAATGCCTCTAGAACATGGCCATATAGCCCGAAAAAACCCACAAGAACCTAGTGATTCCAGCCATGAAAGCCTTCGACAATACAATGTGTCATTGGCTCTAAACTGGAATATTTAGGATCCTTATTTTCTCTGCTTCTATAATACACAGCTCTGAATGTTTTCTATTTGGAAAAATACAAAACTGTGATTGCAGATTGATTACTATGAATGTGAATAAGGTAAGGCTTTATACCTCCAGAAACCTGGTTTTCTGGAAATAACAAAAGAAATCAGATTAAATCGATTAAGTGCATCAAGGAGACACAGGATTACAATGTGGCCTGATTTTTATTAATGTCTGCAAAGACAAAAATAATTAAGTGTGTTGCCATTTCCCATTATGGAGGGAAAAGCTACCTTTGCTGTATTCCAGTAGCATCTTCCTGCCTCTGTCGCTGTGCCAAGATTTGGTTTGCATTTTGCAGAAGCCACCACATTCTCTTTATGATCCGGTGCCTCTGGGAGCTGTTTTTGCCTTCCAGCTCCATGCAGCAGAACCTGGGAAGGCTGTGTGGGAGTGATCCATGGCTTTCATTTGGCCAAGGATTCGGATGACGAGATCTCTTTTCTGCCTTCTTCTTTTCCAGAGGACGGCGAATACTTCCTGAAGGTCCTGATCCCCAGCTATGCGGCCGGGTCCATCATCGGCAAAGGCGGCCAAACCATCGTCCAACTGCAGAAGGAAACTGGGGCCACCATTAAGCTCTCCAAATCCAAGGACTTCTACCCAGGTGAGAAAGAGTCAGCGAAAGGGTTTGGGGAAGTGATAAAGTGGGGAAATGTTTTCCCAAACTCTCGTTTTTCTGGGAGACCATCCAAAACTGGAAACAGAGGGTGCATCTGCACTGTAGAATTAATACAGTTTGACACCATTTGGACCACCAGGGCTCAATGTTATGGAATACTATGTTTTGTAATTTGGTAAGATACCAGCACTCTTTGATAAAGACTAAAAACCTCCCAGGATTCCATAGCTCTGCACCATAGAAGTTCAAGTGGTATCAAACTACATTAATTCTGGGTTGTTGTAGGTCACTCACTACCTCTGAGGATGCTTGCCATAGATGCAGGCGAAACGCCAGGAGAGAATGCCTCTACACCATGGCCATATAGCCCGAAAAAACCTACAACAACCCAGTGATTCCGGCCATGAAAGCTTTCGACAATACATTAATTCTGCAATGTAGATGTACCCAGAGAAGGTGCTTCATACATATGACGGCTGGTATCCAAGTACATGAACCCTCGATGGCACAGTGGGTCAAACCACTGAGTTGCTGAACTTGCTGACTGAAAGGTCGGCAGTTTAAATCCGGAGAGTGGTGTGAGCTCCTGCTGTTAGGCCCAGCTTCTGCCACCCTAATAGTTTGAAAACATGCCAATGTGAATACATTAATAGGTACCACTTCAGCGAAGGTAATGGTGCTCCATGCAGTCATGCCAGCCACATGACCTTGGAGGTGAATACGAACAACGCCAGCTCTTTGGCTTAGAAACGGAGATGAACACCAACCCTCAGAGTTGGACACAACTAGACTTTATGTCAAGGGAAAGCTTTACCTTTACTCATCAAAGTACATACACAACATCCTCTAAACAAATTTTACCCTGATAGCTCACCTTAGTGTCAACATAAGTCATAAACCGGGTGCCCCTGGTGGCACAGTGGGTTAAACCGCTGAGCTGCTGAACTTGCTGACCGAAAGGTTGGTGGTTTGAATCTGAGGAGCAGGTTAAGCTCTTGCTGTTAGGCCCAGCTTCTGCCAACCTAGCAGTCTGAAAACATGCAAAATGTGAGTATTTATTTATTAATTTTATTTACAGTATTTATATTCCGCCCTCCTCACCCCGCAGGGGACTCAGGGCGGATTACAATGTACATATACATGGCAAACATTCAATGCCGTAGAACACAACATATATAGACAGACACTCAGAGGCTATTTAACTTTCCAGCTTCTGGCCACCAGGGGAACTGTCGCTTCCTCATTCTTTGCATACTTCCTGGAGATTTTTTATGGCCTCGTAAATCAGCTAATTTAGCCACCCCACAAAGCGGTTCCTAATTTTTCTACTTACTACTTGACAGAAGCAACTGTCTTCTGTCAATAGAAGATAAATAGATACCGCTTTGGCGGAAAGGTAACAACGCTCCATGCAGTCATGCTAGCCACATGACCTTGGAGGTGTCTATGGACAATGCCGGCTCTTCGGCTTAGAAATGGAGATGATGAGCACCACCCTCCAGAGTTGGACATGACTAGACTTAATGTCAAAGGGAAACCTTTACCTTTACTTTAAGTCATAAACAACTTAAAGGCACACAACAGCAATGAAACTAACCTGCTTTTTCAGTTGTTTTGAAATGCCCAATTTCCCCCCTTTTACCCATATTATCCTTAGCTCATTTAAACTGCTGCAAGCGAAATTCAGTGTGCAAAACTACATACAGTGCTGCATTTTAAAGCTGTAAGACACTATTATCTGTAAGAAGCACCCTAATTTCAGTCCTATTGACACCAACAAAATATACCTGCGATTCTAAGTTGCACCCCATTTTTAGAGATGTTGACAAAACATGACTTAGAATTGTCTACTTCTTTAATATCTTTTGCCATCTTGAGCACATTCTGATGTTAGTCATATATGTGTCATGGATTTCATCTGTGAATGGTTGGAAAGTAGAAGAGGATCCTAAACATGGGAATGGGAAACAGCAGTGTTCAAAGACGTCACTTGCAGAAAATGTTGCCTGGGAGTCCGGCAGAGTTTCCTTCTCCCTGCCTAGCCCTTCTTTTCTCCAGGTTTTTTGTCTAAGCTAAACATAAGCTGATCCACATAGCAATTCATGGGTTCCAGACTTTCGCAATTATGGTGGACACGTTCTAGCTTGTGCATCTCCTTTTTGAATTGTGTTGCTTGGACCTGGGTTCTTCCAGGTGAGGCCTAACCAAAGCAGAAGAGAGTGGGATCATGGTCCTCTCAATCTAGACCAGTGGTTCCCAACCTTTGGACCTCTAGGTGTTTTGGACTTCAATTCCCAGAAATCCCAGCCAGGTTTCCAGCTGTTAGGAACTGTGGGAGCTGAAGTCCAAAATACTTAGTGGCCCACTGATCTACACTATCCTCCTGTGCATGTAGCATAGAATGGCATTGGCCTTTTTAGCTGCCGCATCACACTGTTGGCTCACATTCAGCTTGCGGTCTGTTATGACTCCTAGATCACCTTCACATGAACTGTTTTCCAGCCAAGTGTCTCCCATCCTATATCACTATACTTATGTTGATGTAGCCTAGAATCACATTGGCCTTTTTCGCTGCCGCATCACACTGTTGGCTCATGTTTAGCTTGCAGTTTGTTACGACTCCTAGATCACCTTCACGTGAACTGTTTACCAGCCAAGTGTCTTCCATCTTATATCTCTATATTTCTATTGATGTATCCTGGAATTGCATTGACCTTTTTCGCTGCCGCATCACACTGTTGGCTTGTGTTCTTCTTGTGGTCTGTTCCAACTCCCAAGATCCCTTTCACATGGACTGTTTTCCAGCCAAGTGTCTCCCATCCTATATCTCTATACTTCTATTGATGTAGCCTAGAATTGCATTGGCCTTTTTTGCTGCCGCATCACACTGTTGGCTCACATTCAGTTTGCAGTGCTACAACTCCTAGATCACTGTCACATGAACTGTTCTGCAACCAAGTGTCCCCCATCCTATATCACTATAGTTATGTTGATGTAGCCTAGAATCACATTGGCCTTTTTCCCTGCCGCATCACTCTGTTGGCTTATGTTCTTCTTGTGGTCTGTTACAACTCCCAAGATCCCTTTCACATGGACGGTTTTCCAGCCAAGTGTCCAAGCCTAGAATCACATTGGCCTTTTTCACTGCCACATCACACTGTTGGCTCACATTCAGTCTGCAGTCTATTGCAACTCCTAGATCACCGTCACATGAACTGTTTTCCAACCAAGTCTCTCCCATCCTATATCTCTATAGTTCTATTGATGTAGCCTAGAATTGCATTGGCCTTTTTAGCTGACACATCACACTGTTGGCTCATGTTTTTCTTGTGGTCTGTTATGACTTCTAGATCCCTTTTCAAGCCAAGTGTCCTCCATTATATATTTTTGCAAGTTTGCCTGAGGCTAAGGTGGGCTTTAACAGTCGAGGAGGGATTTGAACCCGGGTCTCCAGAATGTAATCCAGTGAGCAAAGCATCATCACATCATGCCGGCTCTCTAGACAAAGGTGTTCAAGCTTAAACCATGACTTGGTGGCACATCCTGTGGCCATTGCAGCCTGGCGAAGGGAGGATGGGTCTCTCCAACACCGCCTTGCCCCTCTTCCCCCGTAATCCTGGCCGTGATTGAAGGGCAGACAAAGCCCCGATGGGACCGGCCCGGGCTAAGCCGCTTTCCCCATCCACATCCTGCGGTCTTGATTGCGGGATTATGGGCTGGGACAGCAAATCCCCCGCCGAGGATGCAAAATGATGGAGAGGGGGAGGGAGGAGAAGGAAAAAGAAGGAGAAATCGGCCTGAATTGTGTTGCTGTGGCAACTGGGGAGCAGGTGCCTTGTTTGTTTGTGGCTTCCGGGAAGGGACCCCCCCTTCTCTCCCTCCCTGTGCTTGGCTCCCCCTTCTCCTCCTCCAAGGGAAAGGAAACCTTTTGTATTTATGGTGGGGTTTGGTGGTCTGATGGAAATGCCTTTCGAATGGAGCCGTCTTTCTATTGATGGAGGGGCTATTGGTTGAGGCACCTAGACAAACACATCCTTGTGTCTTCCATGAATTAAGGTACCCTGATCCAATTGGATGACAATATGTGTGTACAGTATATCTGTGTGAGCATTAGAGAGAGCTTTATAGAGGTTAGCATCACCATAGTGAAAACTGGAGAGGGATCCTATCATCTTAATGTAAAAGGAATGAACCAAATACTTCTGATTTAGGAAGACAAGAAGGGTCAGCCCTGGTTAGTATTTGGATGAGAGACTCCCATTTAACACTAGATACTATTGACTATATTTTAGAGCAGTGGTTCTCAACCTGTGTGTCCCCAGATGTTTTGGCCTTCAACTTCCAGAAATCCTAACAGCTGGTAAACTGGAAGGGACTGGCAAACTCTCTTTTGAAGTCCATTCTATATTGCCATATAAAATCCAGATTATCTGTGTTGAACTGGATTATCTGGCAGTGTAGACTCAGATAGTCCAGTTCAAAGCAGATAACATGGATTATCTGCTTTGATAATCTGGATTATATGGCAATGTAGAAGGGCCTGGGTCTCCCTTACCAAAAAAAACCCACTATAAAATGTATGGGGTTGCCAATAGGCAACTTGATAGGTACATGGACACACCAACAAAGGGGGGATTTCGAACCATATTTTAATGTTGTGGTCTTGAGTTATGGTATACATATTTTAATAATGTTATGTTTTATAGTTTGGTTTTAACCCTGTTGTACCCTGCCTCAAGCTGCAAGGAGAGGCGGGTAATAAAAGTATTATTATTATTATTATTATTATTATTATTACTACTACTACTATTACTACTACTATGAGCTCCCAGTGGCGCAAAGAATTAAACCCTTGTGACGGCAAGACTGCTGACTGAAAGGTCGGTGGTACTATTACTACTACTATGAGCTCCCAGTGGCGCAAAGAATTATACCCTCGTGATGACAAAACTGCTGACTGAAAGGTCAGTGGTTCAGATTCGGGG